ACAGAGGGGTCTCACAGGCAGGTCCTGAGCTCCAAGGTCCTTGCAGGAGTTGTTTTTTGGGGGAAAATGCCACCAGTGAGACACTAGAAAGCCACAAGGGATGAGCAGGCAGGAGCGAAGGCTGCTCCACATGACCCTCTGGTAGCGGTGGGATATGCTGCATGGTTGCAGCCTTGTACAGGAGCAGCAGCATGACAGTTCACAGAGGCTGCTGCTGTTCACACCAGGGGATGCTGGGCGCATGCCAGGGCATGACAGCAGAGGAGGTGCAGGCAGCGCAGCCCCACAGCCCCCCAAGGAGCATCCATCTCATGTACCACTGCCAGATGCAAGACAACCCTTGCTCTACCATGTCACAGCACAGGGACCCTCTTGCCCTGTCTCCCTGTCCCCTCAGGGAGAAGGAGGCTTTGGTCTACCTGCTTACCCCTCATAAAGCAATTTAGATTAAGTCCCAGAGAGGAAGAGACCATGCTCCCCTCTCAAATGTCACCACTGTTACCCTTGCACCAGTGAAATCATGTTTGCTGTGGGGTTGCTGTGACCTGATAACAGCAGGTCACGCTTTCTCACCTCCTCAGCAAGCAAGGAGATACACAGTGACCCATCCCCAGGGTGACGCTTGCTGGAGGGGACCAGGCTGGATCTCAAGGCAAAGGCCAGTCACTCCATTTCCATGGCCAAGGGACAAAGCACAGCCTCAACCCTGAGCCAGCTGAGTTATTTATTGCTGCCCTGGGGAAAAGAGAGCCCTGGGGCATAAAAGAGGCTTAACCTGCTGGCTGCATTCCCCCAGGAGATGCTGCAAGTTCTAAGGATCCTTCAGCCATAAATGTTTTGTGTTTGGGCAGCTGATGCAGAGAGTAGGAGCGAAAAATAGTTGATACAGAAGGTTACACTTTGAAGAGGAGGAATTCCTGGACACTGCACCCTTGCCCTTCGCCTCCCACCCTGGGCTGGCTGTGTCTGCAGGCAGAGCCTGTGCTAGTTAAACAAAGGGGCATTTGAAATGCTCAGTTCAGAGTTTGATTGGTGCTGGGTTTATTAACACATTAATTCAAGCAGCAGAAAGGAAAGTTTATGATTTTAAAGGAGTCACGCAGCTTCTGCCCAAAGGAGAAAGGCAGACAGCAGAGCACAGGCAAAGGCAGGCAGGGCTCAGAGCTTGGGTACAGAAACACCCGTGGTTTGGGCAGATGAGTACAGGGCAACAGGCCCCAGTGTCCCAAACAGGGTTTCTTAACTGTGCAATGCCAGACATTGTCCCATGGCTTCAGCTGTGGTATGACAGGAAAGTAGCTGATGAGCATTGCACTGAAACAGGGATGAGCCTTACACCCCGAGCCACTGGTCCTGCCAAGGGGGAGTCCTTGCATTAAGCATGGGTGTGCTCAGGGAGAGGAATGTTTCTCTTCTCCAGCTTTCCTGGCCTTCAACATGAATGTACCCAAAGATGTGAAACATGGCTACAGGGTGAGGCAGGCTGACAAAGATTTTCCACTTCTTTAGCAGCAGGATTGGAGGATGGGGAAGGGAAGGGAAGGACACGGATTGCATGGATGTGGTGGCAGTGGTTATCTCTGCCTCACGCAATAGCCGCATTCCCTGTTATCAATAAACCAGGTCCTTGAGGGCAGACTGGATGTGGGCCAGCCCAGGGTCAGAGAGAACAGGAGCCCAGACTGCCCCAGAACCCATGTCTGCCAATGGTAAGCATGAGCAAAGCAATAGAGCTGAGGCAGCCAGTGCAACACAGAGCCAGCCCCTCAGATTGCCTCTTGGCCCTCACCAGCTCAGTGGGAAAAGCTGAGGGTGCTCCAGGATTTCCTGCAGGAAGGCCAGAGAGGAGCAAAATCTCAGGACAAGAGCGAGATGCAAGGGAGATGGGCAGCCAGGGGAAAGCAGGGGTGGGAAGAGGGCTGGATGGGGAAGGACTCCCTCTGTCGAGCCCCTGGTCTGGAGCCTTTGCCTCACAGATGTGGTGGAGTTGGGAGCCTTGCAGCCCCTCATCAGAGGGCCAGGCTGCAGTGACTAATCCCGTCATAAGGAAACCAGTCCTTCCCCTCTCTTCTCACTCTGGATAGTGCCTTGGATGAAGAAAAGCGGCAATAAAATACTAATGTGCCCTTATCTTCAAACGCGATAGGACACTATCGCCCAGCACACCCCAACCCTGGGTCAGGGGCTGCAACATCATCAGCTGGTCATGAGGAACATGCAACAAGTCATGACTTCTTCTTCCAAGGAGGGAACAACACAGCCCATCACCAAGGCCCTTGCATCCAGCCCTAGCCCACTGGGCATTCCCCCACAGCACCTCTGACCCAGTGAAGTCCGACCAGGGTCCTGTGCAAGGGGAGCCTCTTTTCACACAGAGCTCTGGGCAGGGATGCCCAGGGGCCAAAAGGATGCAGCTTTGTCCCAGACCTGCTGGGATCACACATCTCCTGCCTCCCTGGAGCCCTTCAGGTAAGCAGAGCTCAGATCCTTCTGACATCTCCAACCTGTTTCTCATTTCTGCGTAGCACAGCTGACCTGAAGCAGCAGCAAGTAATCTGTGCAAGCGCTTTGAGGAGTATCAGGTGCTGGGAGACCTCATCTCTGCCCATAGCCCCTGTGAAGTGCTCAGATAGGAGAGACAGGAGGGGGAAGAAAATTCAGGCCAAGTTCCTGATGGGCTCAGGCACTTGGAAAGGGTCTGCACATTCCTCCACCCTCTTCCCAGCCACAGCACACTCCTAGCTGCCTCCCACACTATGTCAGAGCCTCCTGCCTCCTCAGCATGCCAGGGCTGGTGTGGAAGACTGCCCACAGCCTTACAGCAACCTTCTCAAGAGCAGCAGAGGATTCACTGTGGAGAAGGGCTGGTGTCAGGCACTTCAAATCCTGATTCCCAGGCTGGGATTAAGTCGTGCACTGATGGGAATGGGAGATGCACTGTCTGCCCCAGCCATGCCCCAGGCCCAACCTGATATCCCTGGTGGTCGCCACACTTTAGCCAGGGAAACAGCCTCATGGTTTCACCTTGAAGCAACTGTGATACTCAGCTGGCAATTGCACTCATATTTTATCTCCAAAGGCTTCCTGATCTCCTGAAGCCATGGGGATGGCTCTGTCACACTGCCATGGGACTGCTGGTGCCAGGCTCTTGTGGTGTTAATGTGAGACATTGCAATGGAGGTGAGAGGTAGTGAGAAACAAGCACCTCTTTAGAAAACACCTTCAGTCAGAGGAAATGCTGGTGCACAAACTCATGGCTTTCCACAGCCTCTTCCAGTAGACCTGTTTAAAGGTGCTTTAAAGGATCTTTTGGTCTATAAAGAAAGATATGAGGGAAACAGGCCAGAATGAACTCCATGACATTGCAGGGCACAGAGACCTTTGGGTGCACCAAAGGAGATTGCTAGAAAGCGCCTTCCGGTTTGAATAACAGCTCAGAAATCTATCAGAAGAGTTATAAAAGGTGTTTATCTTGGAAAACCTGATAACCTGTGAAGAGGACAGAGAGGTTTGATCTTCCAAGCATTACATTAACATCACAATCAGATTGTTCCATAATTTGAGTCTAATCTCTGCTAGAGTAGCTTCAGGTTAGCAATCTCAGCAAACCTCATGTACATGCAATCTGTAGCAGCAAGAGAAGGCTTTGTAGTAGAATCTGCACCCATTCAGTGAGGAAAATAAGCTTTATCAGCAAGATACACTTTTACAGTGGAATGAACATAAGATCTTGAGGGGTTTTACAGAAATACTGTGAAAACAGACTCTATTGCTAGCTAAAAATCTACCTTGGAGAACTAGACTAGAGAATTCCAGATAAACTGGCCTGTACCCTGGGCAGCTCCCCTGCCAATTGATGGTGACACAGCACCATGCTGGACAGAAGAGAGGAAGACCAGAGGATCCCAGACACCTTTACATGGACAAACTGAGCTGCATCCACATTAGCCAGTCTGTAGAGTCATCCCAAG